ACGTGTCATGCAGGATAACATGGGATGGATTTTGTGGATTGAACATCACATTGAGACACGGTGTGTCTCTTTCCATCCAGAGGCGATGAAGGCCCTTCCTCTGCACCGTTCTGCTCCAATCCGTGTACTGTTTCTGCTCTATGGAATACTCGCACATCTGTGGTGAACAAGAACACGAGACCAAGAAATACAATCAAACCTACTTCATCACCCTTAAGCTATTCAATGGAGGTTGTCATAAAAGCTCAGTGATTACCTGTTGATCTGCATACATCATGAACAGACAGTTTGTTGTTGGGTGAATGCCCATGGCGGTGACAGCAGAGCTGTATACAGGAACTGTGCAATGAGCCTGAAACGTATGAGGTCGTTGTTAACATCCATCTTCTGTCAAATGTTTCTATAAGGTTATATAAACATTGCGGTCATATAACACACCTTCCGTGTCTGCAGGTTGTAGATGTGAACCTCGTGGTCACTGTTTGCAGAGGCCAACCATTCACCATCCTCACTGGCAGCTAATAAGTGAATGGCCTGATGGGAACCTGGAGGAGGACAAACGATTTTAGGAAAGTTTTTGGAAGAACTCTCTTATACTTTTGCATTTATTTGATCAAAATACAGTAAAATAGTAATAATGTGAAATGTTACTGCAATTTAAATTCTCTATTTTAATATCATTACTCCAGTTTTTGAAAACAGTTGTGTTGCTTAAAATTTTGTGGAAACTGTGATTCTTTTTTAATTTTTCTGGATTCGTTAATTGAATAAAAGTTCAAAAGAACAGCATTTATTTGAAATATAAATCTTTTGTAACATTATACGTAAATGCCTTTCCTGCAATTTTTGATCAACTTCATGCATCCTTGAAAAATAAAGTATTAATTATAAAACTAACATTTTCACACCAAACCCTATAGTCCTCTCACCTGACTTAGGTTTAAGGGTGCCCACAAACTTGCATCCTGATTGGCTGAGAGAAACTATGTGCACTGATGACTGTGTGGAGGCGGAAAACAAATGGGAGGAGTCTGAGGAGAAGCAAAGCTGATTGGCTGAGCTGAGTACCTTTGGAAGTTTGGATATCTGAAAGAAGAGAAACAAAAACCGTTGGTCTTCTATTTAAACGGTTTTCATGTGGCCTTTATCTGAGGTCATCAGATTCTTCAAAATTCAGTGAAAATCTAAGCATTTCTTTAGCATGCTTCAAAACCATGTAATGTGTTTTCATGCAGCTCTGTGGAAATCTACAGTACCTTGGTGATGCTGACATTGTTATTGTCGCAGTGTAGCCTGTAGAGCCGTAGACTGCTGGCTGTGGAGTACACAATCCATTCTCCACAGGGAGACACGGCACTGCAGCGGATGTGATCCTCACCCTGCAGATAAACATCCCAGCTCAATCACTTCATTCATTTGAGCAGCACTATGAATGTCACAACTCTCACCACATCCTGCATAAAGTTTTACAGATGACTTTTCGATATAGGTATTTTGTGAAATTATTTTAATCGATTTTTATGTTTAAAAACAAGCACTGTACCTTCACTTTCAAATGAAGCAGCTTCTCTGGATTTCTTTTTACAAATAAACTGCTTCCTGGTATGCCTGACAACCGAAGACCAATAGTTAACAACACAAAAGACATTTCATACTAAAGCCAACTCTAGAAATCATTTCATGTGTTATCAGTCAAAAGTCTAAGAGTCTAAGACAAGACACTTGACTAAACTTGTTACTCATTATTTAAAATCTTTTAAAATATTAAAGGCTTATGCTTTTCTGCTTGATATTAGTTTTATAAAACAATCCAACATGAGAATAAAAATGTTCCGAATGGGAATGTTGTATAAAAGCATTCCAGAACGGATGTCATGAAGACAGAGAAGACAAAGCTAAACATGAACAAAGGCTGCTTTTATTTTATAAAATTACAGCAAAAACAGAAATAATGTGAAATATTATTAAAATAAAATTTTCTATTTTATTATATTTTAAAATTCCATTTGTTCCTCTGATGGCAAAGCTGAATTACTCCAATCTTCAGTGTCATATAACCCTTCAGAAATCATTCTAATATGCTGCTTTGGTGTTTAAGAAACATTTATTATTATGATAATTGTTGAAAACAGCTACTTACATTTTTTGTATAGAAACATAATACATATTTTTCAGGATTCTTTTATTCATGTTCAAAAGAACAGCATTTATTTGAAATATAAATCTTTTGTATAATTATTATTGTCTTGTAATAATAATAAATAACTGTTAGTTTTGATCAATTTATTGTGCTCCTTGCTGAATAAAAGTATTACTTCTCTCAGAAAAAAAACCTTACTAACCCAAAACGTTTTAAATGGTATTTATTTCCACTTATGCCATTTCATAGCTTTTAATTGCTTTACAATTTTTCTAAAATATTAATTGTAAAAAACGATTAGGAGTTTCCAAACTTTTAACTAGTATTCTATATCAATGATCACACTGAATATCATCCTCACCTTTTCCTTCACTCTCTCCCAGTCTCCAGAGCTCCAGATGACCAGGGTACTGGAAAAGCATCAGGCCTGAATTCCTCGCACAGAACACCAGTCTCCTCTGCAATGCAACAGAGCACAAGTCCCTCCCATTAACAATCAATTACAAACATGCTGTCTATGTGAAAGTCACAATTTCACAATACTCACATGTGGAAAGTGAATCTTCCTCAAAGCCGAGGCCGCTGACCTCACTTCGATCTTGTCTAACAAAGGTTTCACGACCAGCTGTGCATCCATACCTGAGACGAGAATGCTCATTTAAACTATTTTAAACAAAAAAATAATTCAGTCATATGATGCTTTGTGTGATGGAGGCAGCTCTGTTTGAATAGTCTAAAAATAAACTCACCTCCTGAAACCACAGCCGTCGTGATCTCCGCCACAGCTCTGATGTCATGCGTGTGGTTCTTAAATGTTCTGGTTCTGACCCATTCTTTGTCATCCTTTCCCAAAACCATAGAGACGAACTGGAACTGTACCACAGTTCCTTCTGAAGTCCCGGCAACAAGGCTGTCCTCATTCTGCCATTCAAGAAACACAATAAGATACGATGTTATCCTGTTCATAATCTTATAGTATGTCATGTATTCTATTAAGAGAAAGATTTCAGGTTTGGAAAACACGCGTACACTACCATTCAAATGTGTGGGGGATTTCATTTTTTGAAATAAATTAACACTTTTATTCAACAAGGACACATTAATCAAAGATGGCAGTAAATATTGTTAATGTAATAAAGCATTCCCATTTCAAATAAATGCCGTTTTTAAACACTTTATTAATCAAAGATTCTTGGGGAAATTTTTGTAACACTGTTTCCACAAAAATATTTAGCAGCACAACTTTTTTTTAACTCTGATAATAATAAGAAATGTTTCTCGAGCACAAAATCAGCATTTTAGAATGATTTCTGAAGGATCATGTGACACTGAAAACTGAAGTAATGGCTGCTGAGAATTCAGCTTTGCCATCACAGAAAATACATTACATTTTAAAGTATATTAAAAAAGAAAATTTTATAAACTGTAATATTTCACAGTTTTACTGTTTTTACAGTATTTTTGATCAAATAAATTCAGCCTTTGAGAATACAGTGAAAGAGTTGATCAAAGAAATACAGCCTTTTTTTTCCAAAAACCTTAAAAAATATCTTAATGACCCCAAAGTTTTGAGCAGCAGTGAATAGTCATAAACGTGTAACATTTGCTCGCAAACCCGCAGCATTTTTCTCACCTGAGAGACTGATAATGCCAGCACATCACATTTTGTGACATTATGGCTTTTGATTAGTGTACCAGTTTGATCATCCCACAATTTGACCATTCCCACAGAGTCTCCACTGACGATTGTCCCATCCGAGAGGTAGACCACACTCCACACCACGCATTCCTTACTGCGGGATGTCCCGACCCCTCTGTCAGCCAGCATCCTGTGTATAGAGTGGCCTAGAAAACATATTAAACCCTTGATTACATTAATATTTTCCAGTTCTTCTACTAACTCTACATAACTGACTACAGTAATACATTCTGGAGGAATGACGCCGTTTACCTGTCTCTACATTAAATATCTGGATCATATCCATCATTCCAGCTGCAATTTTGGAGCCTGATGTGTGCCAGGACAGAGAGACGATGCGGCCTATATAACAGGTAATCAGATGTTCATTTAAAAAAAAAAATACAATAAAAAATCATGACATGAAAGTTTCAAATATGGCCACAATCTTACTTTTTTGCCTATCCAGATTTCTCTCAAACTGTATTTTGTCTTCATTCACCTCAAACAGTTTCACAGTTCCGTCTTCACAACCAACCTACAAATGGTAAAAACACAAAATCTGAACAAGCTTCTTTTTCTGAAGTACACTTCAGCATACATTTAAACAGAACTTACGACTGGAATATAATGTACTTACATGTCAACTGAATGTAATATATATTTACAATTAAATGAAAATATAATTTAAATTGATTTTAAATTCAAAAAGTTGAACTTGAAGAGTGATTAATAAGAGAAACAAAGTCATGAAAATTTACTCTATAAATACCATTAAGTGGGCTTTTATTTCCTTAGTGCTATATAATTTGCAAGAAAAACTTTTTTATATATAATTTTTAGATTTGCAAGTGCACAGTCAATACAATTATGCATACTTCTTTTTCACAAGTGTTTGCTTGCATTATCTTACCTTAAAATAAATGGCATTTGTTTTTAAATTGATTTCATTATCTAATGCAGTGGTTCCCAACCCTGGTCCTGGAGGCACCCCAACACTGCACGTTTTGCATGTCTCCTTAATCAAACACACCTGATTCAGGTCATCAGCTCATTAGTAGAGACTTCAAGACCTGAAATTGGTGTGTCAGAGAAAGGAGACATGCAAAATGTGCAGTGTTGGGGTAGTGCTGGGTGGTATGACCAAAAATGTATACCACGGTATTTTATAGGCATCTATGGTGTATTTCACTTTCTGGTTTGTCAGGTCATACTCAGTTATTCCACCGTTTAGTCCTGCACTGAACAGACGCTCCCCAACCCAGGACAGACCTTCAATCCCACACTGCTCTCTGCCAGGGATGATCTGTGGACATAGGAAATGTAATTAAGCATCTTTAACAAACTGTCTGCTGGTCAAAAAACATTTGATCAATGTAGCTCTTGGTCCCCAATACTAAGACCGAGTTGTCTTATGAGCATCTATTGGATAAATATGACTGAACGTACCTTTTCTTGGAAAAATCGGTCTGAACAGTGGAAAATCTCCACGGATCCGTCCATCCTCGCCACTGCCATTCTTTCAGTATCTCCATTGAAAGCCAAGGCTCTGATTCCCGACGGCATGTAATCAAAGAACCGAACCCGGTGAACTTTAAACTCCCCCATCGCTGATCTGAGACCTGTACACATCATGAGTACATTGTTTTAGTCAAAGAACAATCTGCTATTTTGATCAAATAACGTTAGTTGAATCAGTGCGTAAAGTTACTGTTCACTACAGAGATCCTGAACGACATTAGGAGCCTAAATGTTTATACAACTGCGAATGTAACTGTGTACACAACATCATTTGCTCATTTATTAGACAGTTCGACTAAGCGCCTCATGTATTAGTTTGTCTCTGAAAATTTCTTTCTGAAGTAACTTAACGTTAGTTAACTTAAGTTAGTTTAACTACTGATTTAGGTGGCACATACATCATGCCGTACGATACGAGAAGAACAGAATGCAAATATAAAATGACAATCTCTTTTCTTATTTATTATTCTCTTTCAGATTTTTTACCACTCAGAGAAGCAGCGCACACGTTGAGCTGCGTCCACGTTGGTTACCCCTGACCCGGAACGGAAGCTTCTGCCTTCTGTCTACAAAAATGAATTTCAAAATAAAGGTCCACCAATATAAAACAACATTATAATAGGTATGGTTTCGATATTGTTGTATTAGTGCATTATGGCAGTTAAAACTATAATTACAATGTAGCTACAATTGAATTACATAAATAAGCTTTAGAATCAAAGATACGTGTGTGAGATATAAAGATATAAAGACATAGAAACGTTAACTTTAACTACTTGTTCAGTTGCAAATATTACACATTATAATGTATTTAAACCAATTCACTTACAAACAGGGTGAAAATAAAGAAAATAATAATAAATAAAGAAAATAATAGAAATAACTGCAAAAAAATTAAATAGATAAACAAAACGTGCCGGGAGAGGTAATAATATAAAAATCAAAATACTATATTACCAAAGTCTCGTTTATATATAAAGTCTTTACGGCAAATACGGCTCAGCATTAAAGGTCTTTATAGCGCTCTTCAAAAAAAAAAAACGTTTCAAAACGTCCATGTACACTACAGCCTTACTTCAGCAAAGACTTTTTAAAGGGATTTTGACTCAAGTCAACAAAACCTTAAATACATTTTTTTTTAAAGTAAACTAAAAAAATAAAAGTAAATCTTCTTCATGATAATCAGTGACCTTTAAAGTACTTCCCATAAAAGGGAGAAAGGTCTTGAACACTAAATATTTTAATTAATACACGTATGATAACAAAATAACTGAATGAAGGTGGTTTCATGAGAGTTATTACAGAAGATCCTATTTATATTTTTGCCTTTTTAAATTTATGTAAATAATGATTGCTGGATAAAATCAGATGATTTCTTTCTTTAGCTAAGATCAAACACAGCAGTAGCCTGCCCGGCGTCAATTATTACTGAAATAATTCAGTTTTAAACCACATAAAACTTTAGTTTTCAGACATTTAAATTATTTACTAGCAAAAAAGGCCTAGTTAAATACACGCGGATGTTTGTGAGTTCATCAAATACTCGAAAGCTGCAGTAATCCTTTCAAATCTGACGACGTGTTTTATTCCCATAAATGTGTAGTTAAATATAAAGTTCACACTGTTCTTCTCCTAGGTGCTTTTATGTAGCTATTGAAATGGGTGAATTTACGTGATGTTAATCCAAAGATCCGATTGTCTATATGAGCATCATAAAGTTTTTAAACGACAAAAACATTCACTTACACACATTTGACAATTGGAACATATACACACGAATATGACACATAGGCTATATTTTATCAAATGTTTTATTTGGAATTACAAGGCAGTATATGCAGCACCAGTTTCAAATGTTTTGTTTTACTGAAAGCTGTATTGTGGTTTGTCCCACTCGTCAGATTTGTATAGCTTATCAGAGAGCAGTAGAGTAAAACATAGACCTGCACAATGAGTAAACAACAACAACCACAGTTATTGATATCATATGAAAAACAAATAGCTTGCAGTGATAGAGCACAGACGGGATTTAACTGTTGCTTGGTCATTTTAAACTAGTTGAGGCAAGCACCTATAAACACATGATTTTTGAAAAAAATAAAACACTTTAAAGGAGAAACATAATTGTGTTGTAAGTAATTTAAGTCTTTATGGAGCATTTCTGTACCAAACTTTAAATCCACACAGTAACTGAGCATTTAGCATACATAGCTGTTTTTGGTGTTTAAAGTGGAAAAAAAGTTCAGACTCAGCAGCATAAAAACCACACAAAATATCTTCCTTTAACACAACTCACTTAGTTAATTCTGCTTTTTACCCAAAGTAGGCATATTCTTTGATACTTCTGTGGTCTGTTTTTGGCTTTCATCAGAGGTAGGGAATTTTAGCTTTGCATTTCTGTCACTCCACCTTAAGCACCAGAAAAAGAGCACCAGATCTGAACCGATCGCTGATTTAAGCTGAAGAGAAAGGCTTGTGCAGTTCTGTTGGATTTGATGGTTGGGGTTCAGGTATAAGGGTCAGTGGTTACTGGTTACTTCAGTCCTCCAAAATGGAACCTAAATGAGAAAAAAGTGCCTCTTTTAATACATTAAATCATAAAAAAGTTGGGATTCAGTGGTGAAACTCAACTCACCTTCGTCTCAGCCCAAATGCTTGTGCTGAAGTTTCTCATAGATCACTGCATTGTTGGAGTTACTTCCTGAAGAATAAAGATTCAATTAATTGTCATTCTATTAATAATGGCTGCTTTTATTCTTCCCTTTCCTTCAGCTGAAACACAAAATAAATTGGTGGTCGTACTAACCTAAATAATCCTTGTAATCTTTGAAGGACTTGTGTCTCATGCTACGTCCATCTAGAGGGAGAACAGTTAAATGTGTTTAATATTTTTATTTAAATATATTAATTATGCAATCTACTGTTGAATGTGTGAATGTAATCTTGCTTGGATGTTTTCTGAAACAATGTTTATAACCACCATACTATATAACCTACACAATGGATAACGTGTGAGTGGACGGCGTGATGGATGTATGAATGAAAGTTTGGATAAAGGAGCCCCTTCAGACCTGAGTTTCCACGCTGTTTGATGCACTGGCCTCGGTTTGGGATCCCAGCTGATGGGTTTCCCGGGTTGATAATGTGGCACTCATAACCAGTTGGGCAGAGCAAAGGCTCATCTCCGTCCTCTGTGGTGCTACAGGCCTCAGCTACACATAAAGACAGTCAAGCAAGTTGCTGAGGTGCATATCTGTGTTCAAGCAAGCTACCAGTGTGTTCTGATACACAATCTCATTTATTGGTTTGAGCACCAGAATGTTTTACTGCAGACAAAGTGTTCACGTGATCCTTGTTTTTTCATACTTGATTTAGTAATAATAGTAAACCAACTACAGATGGCAGTGTTAGACTAATTTAACAATGTCCTTACAACCTTTCTGGGCCTTGAACGTGGTGGTTGCTTTGCTGTCTATGCAGGGTCAGAAAGCTCTTGGATTTCATCAAAATATCTTAATTTGTGTTTCGAAGATGAGTGAAGATCTTACGGGTTTGGAACGACATGAGGGTGAGTAATCAATGACAGAATTTTCATTTTTTGGTGAACTATCTCTTTAAGTAACAATAGTGAGGGGTCAAGGTTGTGCTGGTCAGTATAGGCCAGTTAGACTCTTCTTGATAGTTTTCTCCAGGTATTATACAGTCAAACCAAAATTTATTCAGACGCCTTCAACATTTCTCACATTATCACAGATTATTCGCTATAGTTTAGAAAACGGTAATAAAATATGACAAGAACTCAGAGTTAAACTGTGTCAGAAAAATGTCATCTTGATAATGTCAGATAGATTTGATAGAAAGGTATGTAATGAATTAGGTTGAATAGCTGTCAGCTGTTAAATTTAACTACACTATTAGATAATGGCAATTTAGGTCAACCAATTACCAAGCAATGCTTAATTTTGTTCAGTATGGTGTGTAAAACGGTCGCATTAGCAATTAAAGAAAAACACTTAAGCAAAACATGGTCTGGTCAAAGTGTCTGAATAATTTTTGGTCTCAAATTTTTATCAGTTTTACTGGTAGTCCACTGTATGAAGAATTTTTGTGTATAATATGTCACAGTTTACTTTATTTTGCTATCCTTACTTACATAAATGAACTATAGTGCACTACATCCATTAGTAAAAAAAATATCAAAAATTATATCTGGTGTCTGAATAATTTTTGGTTTGACTGTATATATTTGTAAGTCCTCGAGAAGAAGGAGAGGAGTCAGCTGAACCCCCTTGACCCCTCAGATTGAAAATTAATATTTAAATAATTTAACAACATTTAAATAATTAACAGTCTGTTTCTGAAGAGCAGTTCAGATTTCTCTGATGGAGGCTAATGGTCACATAACATTCAGATAAGCAATAAAATATTTATATATTATAAAATACTTTATTTTTTATTATTTTATCTATTATTTACATAAATATTTATAAAAAAATAAAATAATAATTTTATACTATATATATATAT